CTGGGTGGGGCCTCCCTGCTAATGGCGAGTGAAAGCCTTCCCTGCTGGTGGGTGTAGGACCCTGGGGATTCCCCCTGGGCTTAGGTGTAATCGCGGGGGGCTTGGGTAGGGCTGTTGTCACCTGTTTCCACTGTCGCTCTGCTGGTGAGTGCACACTCCTGCCCTTGGTGTGTGGCGATGCTATGGGGGAGTCCGCTGGAAGAGAGCCTCTTGCAGGAACTAGGCTGTCTGGGCATCAGGGGTCGGGGGTTGGAGAGTTTTCACCTATTTCCACCTCCTCCCGGGGGGAAGTCCATCTGCCTTCCGATGTATAGCAGCACGAGTCTCTTAGGCGTCTTGAGATGCTATCTGGATATCCTTTGTTAATTGGTGAATGTCCAATTAGTTGTAGATTCGACAGGGGAGAGACAAAGAAGACCACTCACTCCGCCATCTTGGTCCCGCCCCCGACTCAGAAACATTTTTTGAAAAAACTATTCTTTCCCATTGATTGGTCTCGGCACCCTTGTCAAAAATTAGTTGACTATAGATGTATGAATTTGTTTCTATACTCTTAATTCTGTTCCATTGTTCTATGTGTCCATTAAGCCAGAACTGCACAAAACTCCACTCCTGTTTCTCTCTTGTATATCATCTCCAATTTTCCATGAAAATAGCAAGATTTTTCCTCGACTGATATGCATGATGCCATGTGAAATATGCATATATAAATTTATATACTTGATTACTGTTGTTTTGTTGTAAGTTCTGAAATTGTGAAGTGTGAGTCCCTTGTTTTGTTTTTGTTTTTCAAGATTGTTTTCAATATTCTGGGTCCCTTGAAGTTCCACATGAATTTTAATATCAACTTGTTAATTTATAAAAAGAAAAATTCACCTCTCATTTTGGTAGAGATTGCATTGAATCTATAGCTCAATTTGGAGAGTAAATGTCATCTTAACAATGTTAAGTCTTCTGATCCATGAACATGGGATGATTTTTCATTTATTTAGATCTATAAATAATTTCTTTCCACAACGTTTTATAGATTTTAGAGTACAAATTTTAACTTCTTGGTCACACTCACTAGGAATTTACGTTCTGCAACTTGAGTTGGTGGGGATGAGAAACATTGGCAGCCTGCCCCTCCTGGGGAGATGCTGCAGCTCTTGCCTGGGAGCTGAGGAAACAAGGCTCCCCGTCTCCTTTGCCAGACTTGTGAGATGGAGCACCTGCCAAGCTGTGCAGCAGGAGAGAGATGGCAGTTTGTGGTTCAAGTGCTGTCACTTGAGAGGAGACTCACAGACTCACTATATTATCCAAGTTTTAGATTTTTCTTGCATAAATAAGTCCCCCGCAGCTATATGCCCTTAAGACAATTCCAGAGGTTTTAAATGTTTTGTTTGTTTTTTAAAAGTAGTTTTTAATCTGTATGTGGGGGATCAGAATTGGCCACCCCAAAGTGTATCCCTTTGCCTTGATTATTTTTAAGAATGAAAGACTCAGGAAGAAGCTTTGACCTTCCCCCTAACTGCCTAAAGGAATTTAAGATAGAAAGCCTGTTCCAGGAAGGAGCTCTCGCCATAGATAACTAGAGTGTAATATGAACTAGGTGTGGTAGACAGGGAGGAACCCGGCAAGGCCCATTTGATCAAAGTCCTCCCCATGTCCCACTGTCTGCTTATTCACTTCCTGTCTATTGTTGACTATTTCTTTCTCCTTTTCCCATTAAGAGGATAAAACACTCCCTGGGCTGCCTCTCTGCCGAATACACTCAAGTATATTCCAGCTGACCTGTTTGAGCCATTGCTGTTTTACTCCCTGTCCAAGTTCAGCCTTTCTGTTCCATCTCTGCGTACTGGATATTCTGCTTCTCCTTTGGTGGGGTAACATCATGCTGTGATTTTAAAATTTAGCCATAGTTATGCAGCTTAGTTTCATTTTATGTGGATTAATAGTATTTTATACAGCTTAGTTTATTAATTTTTTATATTGCCCTGTGGCTTATTGTGTGCTTCTGGTATTAGTCAGTGAGAGACGGGGTTCATCTTGCCTTCTCTGTAAGCCTCAGGGACTACGTAAACCTGAGTGGGACTCACAGGAGCTCTGATGTCAGGCCAACCTAGGTGTGCATCCTGATCCCACCAAACACTATCTGTGACCTTGACCTGAGGCTCCTCACCTGGAAAAGGGGAATAACAGCATTGCACTTTCACAGGGTCGGGAGGATTAAACGAGGTCGTATCTAGAAGTTTTAGCACAGTGGCGAAGGCACAGACAGGGCCCTTCGGCAAATGCCGCCATTACCCTCCCCTTTGGAGAGCTGGCAGCCTTCCTCCGTGTTTGGCCTCCACACTCTCCTTTTGCTGGGTTCCCTCCACGAGCTCCCGAGCCTGGGAAGCTCCCAAACCTCAGAGAGCGGTCTTGACATGCTGCTTCCTCCTTGCTTCACTTAAAACCCCGTTCTTCTAGGATTTTCATTTACACCCTCATTTAAAATCCTTTCTGCTTAACGAGGGTCCACAGTCTGTCGGTGTCCGCCCCCCACGTGCAGGGGATGGATCCAGTCCTGGACTAGTGAGGCCTGGGTTTAAAATGGCTGGCGGGCTGTGCGAATTTCAGCAAATCGTGTCCCCTCCCCAAACTTCAATTCTCCATTTAGATGGTGGAAATAAAGCATCTGTCTTATCTATCTTCCAGGAGTTTAAAGATTAGATACAAGAATATGTGTGACAACACTCAGTGTGTTCTAAGCCACCGTCTGTATATTTGCTCTTGGGTTATTTCTATTGCCTTCTCTCCTAAGACATTGGCTCTAATTCAGTCTAGGAAATGGCTTGAGAGCATGGTGACCTCTAATATGCTTTTCTGGTAAACATGGGGTCAGTGCAGCCATTCTTCTTTCCCAGATCCTGGACAGGGTTTCCTGAGTGTGTTGACAAAGACTGGGACATTTGTCTTCTTTCCAGAATACCAACAACTGCTTATTGAATACTTAGTATAGACCAGCATTTTCCCTAGATTATTCAGTTTAATCCTTTCTGATAATGCATGAGGTGGCTATTTTTATTATCTCCATTTTACGGGAAGAAGCTGAGGCTTAGAGAAGGCTCTGCCCAAGTTCAGACTCAAGTAAGTGACAGAACCAGTACTTGAAGTTGGGTGGTTGGGAGGCAGCTGTCACCTCTTAATCCCTCAGAACACTCTCTCCTAGTTTGATTATTGATAGCTACTGATGTCACTTCAGTAATTTCTCCTTTCACTTTCCATCACAGTATAAAGTTCCTTCATGTGGGATGAGGGAGTCACAGCTTCCCCTCCCCCTTTGAGGTCCTTGAGTTTTGCCCTACGCATGTGTAGCAAAGGAAGGGGGGAGGCTGAGGAGCAGCTTGGATAGGGATGAAGTCACGTGGATGGAGAGCAAAGGGCTGTGTAACAGAGTGGACTGTGAATTTCAATATTTCTTCAGGCTTCTCTCCCATGGAAGTTATTTCCATCAAAAAAGCTGTGTAAGAGCAGAGGCCCTGGAGGCCCCCAGGAGGCACCCTCTATTAGATGCATTTAGCTCAATTTCAGCTCTTAGGTTTAAATCAGAGTCTTTGGCCATTTCCCTCTCATATGAGCTCTGAGAGGATACAAACATCAGACAGCAACAGCTGCCCTGGGCTTTCCAATTTTAGCTTGTGGTTAACCCTTTAGCTCCTGGTCAGCACGTGGGTTCTTGGGCTAAACTCAGGGCGCTGTCTGTTTACGCCCAGATGGGAAGCGTTTCAGTATTTTAACTGGTAAGGCATCTTCATGTGTCCACGCATGTCCAGAGGTCATCATTTTGGGGGCATCCCCGCTGCACCCCCACCCACGCTCCTCTCATGTCTCAGCTTTCAATGCTCCCAACAGGAAAGGCTCACACCTCCAGGACACAGTCACAGCTCAACTGTGGAAAACAGCCGTCCAGGTGCTGCACGCCGTAGGGGCGGGGCCAGCTGCCCCTTAGGATGAGCTGGAAACAACACAGCTGAGTCTGTAAACGGGCGCTTGTCTGAGACCATGGACCTCAGAACCATGTGGCCCAGAAGTCACTCTGGACAGCAAGGGAGAGTGTAAGTGCACTCACTAGCCAGGATTATGGCCTGTTAGCCTGCAAATGACAGCTCACCAGGATCCATCAGGCCCAGCCAGGGAGGAGTGGCCTTGAGGCACCTGAGGGATGGTGGGGCCTTGAGGGGACTTCTGACTTGACAAGAGTGAAGAAGGAATCGCAGGGGCTGGGAGTCCTGTGTCACAGGGAGCAGCAGAGTGTCGGGAACGGGGCCCAGCTGGAACCTGGCGGGCTGCACCACAAATCGTCCCCTGGAGAGGAGGCAAGCAGGGAGAGGACTTCGGAGCAAGGGACATGGTCCCAGCAGGAGTCCCGTCCAGGGAAAGGGTGAGCATGGGCCCCAGGAGGACACTGAGGAGGGGAAGTCCTGCCTGCCCGAAGTCCCTGCACAAATGACCTTCCCCTGGCCTTGTCCTGTCCACATGCACAGTTTGATCTCTATGTGTTTTCCCCACTTAGAGCTGATGCCTTTCCAGAGGCTGAACTAGGAAACTACAAGTTCCCAACATGGGGTCCAGAGAGACCTCCACAAGAGACGCAGGAAATGTTTCCTCTCCCTCCAGAGTGTGGACGGGCAACCCCACTCCTGGGGCACAGAGTGGGCCTGGCAAGTGGTGGCTCTAGGGACCCCCTCATTTCCATGGTGGATGCTCGGCCTGAGAAAACACCTCGACCTCCCATCTCAGGGGTCTGAGGGGCTGTCTTTGCTCCTGGCCCAGCTTCACGATGCTGACATAGACCTGTCCTCTGAGGAGGGGCCCTTGGGGTCTCCTTCAGCAGCCAGGGAGGGGCTGCACCTTCCCCCCTCTCCCACACACAATAATCGGTTGACTGCAATAGGTCTTAATCCAGTGAGGAATCTGAGAGTCTGGACAGCGTTTAAATTAGAACAGAATGTGAAAGAACCACCACTCCCAGGCTGTAAGAGAAACAGGACTTTAATACAACAGTGTGCAAATCTGGCATGAACTATTTACAAGCAGTGATTCTCACCCCTACAGAGATGGAAATTGGCCTCGGGGAAGGGGTGGCAGGCGGTGGGGCCCGTGCACCCCGAGTGCCGCAGCTGGGTCCCCGCTGCCAAGGAAGAGGTCATACGGCCATGGGACACTCACTCCCTCCTCAGCTTCATGATGGCCGTGCTCTCTGGGCCTGGAGAGATTTGCTGGCCAACTAGGATCGGGGCTCCAGCTGGCAGGACAGGCTGAAGCTACAGGACAGAGTGGCACCTGTGAGCCTCCCATACTCCACAGCTCAGGTGTCCCTCCCGGCATCTGCCCAGCACCCCAACAGGGCCGACAAGGGAGCCATGGACGCAGGCTCTCCGGACTGGCCAGCAGGGAGAGTCCACCTGGCTCTCCCCATCTCCTGGCCGGCCTCACCTCTCTTCCACACTGAGCTGCTCCATGTCCCAGAACCAGGCCCTGAATCGCTCCTGGGGCTCTAGGTTGTAATTCTCTGCAGCCTCCTGGAGCTGCACGATCTCCATCATCACTTTGTGCTCCTGGAACCAGAGGGAGGAGAGGATGCAGACAGAGCCTGCTGGGGACGCTGCAGGGTATTCAGGGGGTGAGGAGTGAGGCAGGGGCTGGTCCTGGGTCCTTGCTCACATGCGACCCTCCTTCCCTCCAATTCCATGCAGGTCCTACCTGTACTCAGAGATGGGTATAAGCCCCTCCTGCAGGAAGTTTCGCTTGATGCCCACCACTGCCCCCACCCCGCCCCCACTGGATGAGTCTCCTAATTCTCTGTCATCCAACTCTCTCCATAAATGTACGATGCAGGGGGTGGAGCCCAGGAGAGTTCTGCCTAGGGGTGTCTCTGGTTTCCACTCCCCTCTCCTCCCTGACATGGAAGGCCACAGCTGCTCACCTTTTTCTTTTTCTCGTGGTTGATCTCATTGCCCTGGAAGGTAGACAGCAAAAGTCCATCAGAACGAGCCCCCTACCTATGACCAGCCCCTGTGTGCACCTCTTCTCATGGTGCTCTGCTCCAGGTCCAGGAGGGGGCTGGGCATGACACAAAACAGGACTTGGACCCAGGCCAGGCTCTGGGCTCCAGTGAAGGGAGGACATGGGGGCCGACACTCAGGGACCTTGTAGCCCAACCCTCTGATGACGGACAGGGAGGCTGAGTCCTCAGGCAGGAAGGGACAGCTCCCTCAGTGTGCTGCCTGACTTGGAGGCCGAGTTCTCTCTCGCTTCCAACAAAACCCCTGCAGCTCTGCAGGCAGGCAGCTCTGCTGCTTCGCCAGCCTGGGGACCCGTGACAGGCTCCACGTGGAGCCTTCGTTCCCTCATTGCTAAGAGCGGCACACTATCTCAGAACACAGGGAAGCCAGGGAGGCTGTCATGACAGGAAGTTACCACATTCTGACCACTCAGGTCTTGGTACTGGGACGGTGTCTTCCCAAGTCCCAACCTGGTCACCCCCTTCCGGCCCCCGGCCTCACTCACATTTCCGTAATCCTCCATGGCAGTGTCCAGCATGATCAGGTCAGTTAGCATGCTGCCCAGGAAGGGGACGATGCCCTGTGCCATTGGGATTAGATGGCATGAGCCCTGGTCTCAGGTGTCCCCATGACCCTCCCCTGAAAACTCCTCCTCCTCGGCCTCCTGGCCCAGCCCAGGGTCCCCACATGGAGTAGCCTCAAACCCTTCATAGCCGGCCCTCAATCCCCACCCCTCACCCTCCAAGAACACCAGACTCCTCCTGGTCACCTCCCAGGGCCTGCTTTTGGCTGGTCACAGGGCCTTTGATCCTGGGCCCCTCCACTCTCCCGACCCATCCTGCTGCAGCTCCCCAGGCCCTCCTCCTGGTCACTTCTAAGGGCGGGTGTCAGGCTCTGTGGCAACAGGAGGAGGGCTGCAGGAGGAACGACCCCTCTCTGAATTGGAGCCCCCAGCTGGGAGGGCAGAGACCCCTCCTCTGACCTTGGAGCCCCTCCCCTACAGGCGCACTCACCTTCTGCTGCTGCCTCTTCTGGCCTCTCTGCAGGGTCCTCAGCAGGGTGGCAAACTTGGACGGCTGCTTCTGCCAGGATCAGGGACAGGGTCAAGGAGGCCATCCTCCCCTCACCCCACTTCTCTTCAGCCCCTCTGACCTCAGCCCTGGACGTCTGAATCAAGTCAGCTGGTACCAATGCTACTCCATCCTCCAGCATGCTCTGATTCTAGAACAATCCCAGCTCCAACATTCTTGCTGTATGACCTTGGACCTAAGGCCTGTCCTTGAGTCAGCCTCCTCATCTGGAATGTGTGACAACTCCACCTACATCGCAGGGTCTCCTGAGGACTCAGCGTCAGTGACGGTCTGCATGGTTCTGGCTCTCACCCCACCCGCAGTGAAAGGGTGGGGTGAGGCTGACAGGACACTTTGGTTTTTCTTTCATGGGAACACTACGAGGTCCACTCAGGAAAGATCCACTGAGCACCACCAGTTTCCTGGACACTTCTCAAAAGCCACCTGGGCACCAGTTACTGCTGACTAGGACTCAGGTGAGGTTCCTGACAGGGACAGACTAGCAGCGACTGTGGTAGGGCCAGTGGGGAGTCAAGCATGCACACACATCTGTCATGCTCCAGTCATTCAGACTCAAGGCTGGGCAGCCCATTTGACCACCTGGGGGAATGCCTGGCAGTGCCCATCCCGAGGGCAGGCAGGGTGCCCTCCTCATGGAGAAATGGTGAAGACAGAAGGAGCAGTGGGGGCCTGGCTTCCTAAAGACACAGTGAGCTGGTTCAGGGAAGAAACATACCCCCACCCACCCCATCCACGCAACAGCCTGGAAGAATCTAAGTGCTGAGAGCGTGGACCAAAATGGAAGCCAGCCTCTGCTCAACCAGCCAGCTCAGCATCCCCACTTGGATCAGCCCAGAGACCCCCACTTCCTGCCATGACCAGGGCTTCCCAGCCCACAGACACCTCCCCCACCTGCCCATGGACCAAACAGACCCCATCTTCCTGTTCATCCAGGGAAGACTGGAATTGTCCACAGAAACTTCAACGGAGAAATTACCGTCCACATCCTGCACGTCCCCCTTTCCCCCCCCCACCCCCCCGCCTCTCCCTCCACACTCCAGCCTCCACTCTACCTTGATGAGCAGCTCCCAGCTCAGGGAGTTGTCCTCATCACAGAGCTTTTTAAATTTTCGGCAGCTCTTCCTGAGAGGGGAAAGGAGGAAGGAGAAGCTCAGGAACAATGGGGCAGGGGGCATAAGAGCAAGTTCCATTCTCTATGAGAATCTAGAAAATCCAAACTGCCTGAATGAGGATTTTTGCGGGGGTCCTCTGAGCACTGAGGTCACCATGGGACTGCAGAGGGGGCTCTCATGCTGGTCACCTGGGGCCGCCACTCCCTTTTCTATGGAGCAGCTGTATTTTGACCAGTTTGCGTTTCCACTGGGCACAGAGTTCTGTGGCTGTATGGCAAACACTTGAAAATCTCCACTTTGGTTCAACCCACTATGTGACATCTAAGCAACTTGAGTCCTGAAGCAGAACTGGTGGCCTAAGTTGCCAGTGAGGATCAGGGACACTGCACACCCACCCAGGCCCTGTGCCCAGGGCTTACTGCCACCCAGGAAGCCCCAGCCGACGAGAGGGCAATGGCAGACACGTGGGAGCTCCCTCCTCCCCCTGGTCCTCCTGTGGAGAGGCCTCCCCACCTGGACACTTTCCCCCAGGTCTTGTTCAGTCTGTATATGGGCATGCTCTGCAGAGCCGAGACGATGGCGTACAAGGAGGAAAAGTTCCTCAAGGCTTGGCACTCCTGAGGAGAGAGAGGAGGAGCTGGGAGGGGAGCAGGAGCCCTGTCTGCTCTGGCTTCAGTCCTCCTCCCTTCCACTCACCCCTCCTGAGTGGGACAGATGCCCAGGGTGCCAGGGAGGGTACAGGTGGACCAAAGAGTAACACTTCCAGGAGGAGGAATTTTGCTCAAAACAGGAAGGAGCCAGAGAGGAAGTGACCATCCCACCACTGGGACATGCCAGTCAAGGTCAGCGGGCCCTTGGCAGGAAGGACCTAGGGACTGTGCCGGGGCTTAGAGTGCAGCCTTCAGTCCTGAGAGCTGATCAAGGAGAAGGGGCAGTTCCATGGCTCTGGAGAGGGTCTCCCCCTGCATACCCTGGCCACCTCGATCCACCGCTCCAGGACCTTGGCCCTGCCCTGGGCCGTCATGTTTGGGTCCCCAAGGCAGGACGTCATGACACAATTTGCTACTCTGTTGAACTGCACCACTGTGGCCCGGACGGTGGGTGCCACGTTCTCATGTCCAGGCTGGGTTCTTTTGCCCCAGGTGGAGCTCAGATACTCAGAGGGCACGACGTTCTTGAACAATGCCTGGTGAAGAGGGGGAGAGTCACTCAGCCCTGTCACAGCCCAGCTCAGTGTCCAGGCAGGAGTCACTGGTCTAAGCTGGGGCTCAGGAGGCTGAGCATGTGTTCTCAGCCTGGTGGGAGCCCCTGGCTTTCATTGTTCTTCCACTGAGAGCACCCAGCACAGGAGGACCAGGGACTCGAGACTGTTGGGGAAAAGGCAGGAGCATTTGCACCCAGCCCAGCCCCACGAACTGCAAGCTCCAGAGGGCTGCTCCACTTGGCACCTCCCAAGGGGGCATCTTCCTGCATCCTGAGCATCCGCTGGTCCCAGTCCCCATTCCGCTGCACATTCCCCTGTGCCAGCTACACCCACCGGCTTTGTCAGGTTGTCTCCCTTTTAGTTAAGTACACGTCAGGTGCATCACAAGTGCTGAGGCTGCTGAGCCTCCGGGGCAGATGGCTGGGCCGCCCGAGTTCCTGGCTGCACACAGTGCGTTCTCCTCCCCCACCTCTCAGGCCAGGCCCCACCGGGCTTGCTCTGTGTTCTACTTCACTCAATGTGCTCAGCCACTCTGTGCAGCGGGTCCTCTTGGTCCCCATCTCTACAGCCTGAGGGTGGAACATGAAGGCTGGGGAGTTGCCCAGATCCCAAGGTTGGGAAGTGGTGGAGCTGGGATTTGGACCCAGGTCATAGGAGTCCCCAAAGGCAAAAGCAAGTCTGGGGCAGCTGATGGCAGAGGGATGGCCTGCCCCACCCCGACCTGAGAGCCCAGGTGCTCACCGCGTCAATGACCGTCAGCTGTTCCGCCACCTCCCTCGGGGAGAAGGCCATGAGGCTAGGCTTCCCATCGGGCTGCTCCTTCCTGGTCACTCGCCAGGGGTGGGAAGCCTCTGGAACTGGAGCTGATTCTGCTTCTGTTACTGGAGTCTGAGGTGGAAATCCCAGCATACCCCTAGGTCCCGTTGAGTCCAGTTCAGGACCTGCCACTTGGGCTGGGGCTGCTGATGGCACTCGCTCCAGGTCTGGAGCAGCTGATGGCTCCAGCGCTAGGAGTGATGGCAGAAATAGAACTGGACTTACGTCCAGCTCCAGAGGTGGCCCCTTTTCTGCCTCTGCCGCTGGCAGAAGCGATGGAGCTGGGGCAGGAGCTGGAGAAAGACAAATGGTCAGCTACATAAGTTGCTTTCCATGTGCCTTTCCCCAAACAGGAAAGATCCCACTGTCTTTAAATGAATCCCCAGTCATGACCCACCCACTGGGGTAGTCTTCCAAGCCTACGGTCTCCCTTACCCTCTGTCTCCAACTCAGTGGCCTGGAAAAGATCCACCTGGATGAGAAAAGGGGTGGCCTGGTGCTTCAGGACTGAGCCAGGCAAGAGGTCCTGTACATACGCCAACGTCAGCTTGATCCCGGAGTGGTGCAGCATCTGCCACATATCCTGGGAGTTCTCCTGATGCCAGGGGCCCCAGGTAGGGAGAGAGAGCACTGCGGAGAGCCATGTGTGAAGAGAGTCTCAGGCCTGGCCTGCTGTTCCACACTGTGTTCCCACAGCACCCTTCTCTGTGCTGAGCCCCAGAGGATGGACCAGGCACTCCAATCCCTGGGTGGCTGTCCTTGCACTGGAAGGCCTGGTCATCAGCCAATCTAACAGAGAGCCTGTGTGAGTCTGGCCTTCCATCTGACACTCTTTTCCCAAAGGGCCTGGACACAGCCTACCCCATCCTCCACACTCGAGCATCAGGACTGAGGTTTGAGGCAGATTTGTGACCAGGCTGCTCACCACCTACTGTTCTGGGCCCCAGTGGTGGTGGTTGGGAGAGGTGCATGTGCAGAGGGCAGGGAGAGGGAGAGGGAACTGTGGAAGCGATGGGTCTGTCAGTGCCCGACTCAGCCCAGCCTCTCCTCTGCTTCCCATGGCGGGACCGGCACCCCATCAACAGGTCTCTTTGATTCATTTCCGCCTGTAGGGAAGACCGCAGACCTCAGGCCTCCCACAGAAACCCCAAGAGGTGTGAGATCCAGGGTCTGCCAGTCCATCCATAGCCACAGTCCCCATGGTCTCCTAGCCCCTTCTGTGGACACAGGAGGCCCTCCCTCTGGACCCAACACCACTCATGGTCTTAGTTGGTCCTTGAAGTCTGTCATCGTGGTCTGACTATGAGAGGATGCGTCCATATCTAGAGGAGGCCATGAGGGTGTGACATCTAACGTCCTGTGGGCATGAATACTCATGACGCCCAGAAGTGAGCATCTAGCTCTCAGGCTAGAATTGAGCCCCCGGGATAGTGTCTGCTTCCTTCCTTGGACATCCTTAGTGTGTAGGAAAGGGTATGAATGTACTAGGAGCTTAACATATAGTATTCAATGAATGAACCCCATCCAGAGCCTTCCCAGAATTCTGAGTGGGCCTGCGTCTCCTCTGCTGCCCCCAGAGAGCACTACGCTGGCCGCACCAAAGACAAGGACCAGGATCAGCTAGATGGAATCGCTAAATTGTCTTGCCAATAGGAAAACAGTTTGCTTTCCATGGGCTTTTCCACACTCGGGAAGGCCACAGGCCAGCGAGGGGAGAGGCAGAGAGTCTCCTCACTGGGGACGGAAGCAACAAGCCTGAGGATGCGCAGCATGAGCAGCAGCCCCTTCTGTGGAGTCCGGCACCAGGCAAGTGCCTGCCATGGTTTCGCCCGTGATTTCCTTCAGTGACCCTGTGAGGTTCATTCTTTTACCACCCCACTATTCAGATGAGCAAGGTGATGCTCAGAGAGGTGTGGGGACATTCCCAAAGCACAAGTCTATTAGGTGGGAGACTGCCTGCTGTGCTGTGGAGGGGTGGGCACTCACCTCTGGAGCAGCTGGTCCAGGACCTGTGGGGTGGAGTAGAAGGCCTGGTACACACACGGGAAGGTGGTGACAGAGATGGATCTTCCGTGGAAGGATGGTTGCAGGGAGCCTACCACCTTCTGCACTGCACCTGCCTTGAGGGTCAGCATCGTGCGGGCCTCAGCCACGGACAGGGTGGGTTCCTTGGCATACCACGTGGACAAAGTGGGACACAGTGTTAGTGGCATCACCATGAACCACCAGGAGCATCAGGGTCTGGAGCTCAGACCAGAACCTCCCAGCACCTCAGGAAGTTGTATAAGAGGGACGAGAGCCCACCTGGGAAATGGTTTTGGACTTCCAACTACAATTTGATTTTTAGGGGAATGACAAACACTCAGTACCTTCAAGGCATTCTGTGACCTGAGGAACAATCGCACCTCTGTGCATTAAGAGCCTGTTTTAAGAGCATTATCCCAGGGAGTCATCAGCAAACATCCCCACCACAGACATGAGCAAAGAGACGATTAGGGACCTTCCGCCAATCTGCGGTTCTATGTCATGGCAGACCTAGAAAACTCTGAGTCTATTGGGACACATTTAAGATGTGCCCTGCAGCGTGTTGCTCAAATGGCAACAGAATTGGGTCATGTCCAGGTCCAACAGCATTGAAAGACTGAATCACTGAGGAAAATGTCCTCCTATGTGGAATTATGATGAAGTCAAAAAGGCCTCAGCTCCTGACCTGAGTGGCCTATGATGAGTTGATGTGTTTCGTGAGATGCGAAGTTGCAGAGGAATGTATAGGATCCTGTAATCCACCCCCATCCTCTTTGTGTGTAATCAGCCTAGCACGTGTGATGATTTGTGAGGCTTGGAGAATGTCTGCAAGGACAGTGGCCTGAGTGCTACACAGCTTCCCAGCCGGGCAGCTACATCAATCAAAACGGGAGCAAAATGCTAAGGTCCTCATGGCCTCGTGAAAAGTGATAACAACGTTAAACATTTCCTCTATGATTCCAAGAAACATGTGAAGAGTGTCTTTCCACCTTACCCCACAGCTGGCTGGGGAGGAGAGGAGGCCCAGACTCCTTCAGGAGCAAGGCCGTAGGACACTCCGTTGGGAAAGCCCTGTGAGGGCCCCAGGGGTGTGCTCAGATTTGTACCAGGGTTCCAGGCCCACCCTGAACATCTTGGGGGGTGGGGGTAAAGACCCTCTGCTCCTGCTCTCACCTCAGACCGGCACAGGATGCTGCTGGTGGCCTGCTGCTCCTGCCCCTTGACTAGGGAGGGAGAGAAGTCGAACCCTTCACATAACTCTTCAAAGATCTCCTGTGTGGAGTTCTGGAAAGACAGTGCCCGGCAGGCGGGCCAGGAGTCTTCAGGAGCCTGCTGGACATCGCAATAGGGGGACACCCCCATGAGAATTTCTGTTCCCTAGTTCAGGCACACAGGGACATCTGCACAGACATCTGACCAGGGAGGGAACTAGATGAAACTTCTAAGGTTGGGGATTAACACAAGGGCAGAGGAGCTTGATCCCCAGCACCCACCTGCTCAGGCTGCCAGCCTGGGGTATGAATATCAAAAACTCACCAGTTTTACAGCACATAACAAACTGCTCTGATTTGAAGTGTTTTGTGAGATGACAAGGTGCAGAGGAATGTATAGAATCCTGTAATCCACGCCCATGCTCTTTGTGTGTAATCAGCCTAGCAAGTGTGATGATTTGTGAGGCTTGGAGAATGTCTGCAAGGACAGTGGCCTGAGTGCTACACAGCTTCCCAGCCGGGCAGCTACATCAATCCGAACGGGAGCAAAATGCTAAGGTCCTCATGGCCTCATGAAAAGTGATAACAACGTTAAACATTTCCTCTATGATTCCAAGAAACATGTGATGAGTGTCTTTCCACCTTACCCCACAGCTGGCTGGGGAGGAGAGGAGGCCCAGACTCCTTCAGGAGCAAGGCCGTAGGACACTCCGTTGGGAAAGCCCTGTGA